AAAACCCTAGGGGTTATGACTTCCCTGCTACACCTATGGATCATGTGCTTCCAGTAGTACGGGCCCATACTACCTTCCACACCTACCCGTATTTGTCTCAGAATATCATCACAACAACCCCACAATACACACTAGCATACACATACACTCAATCCTCACTTACTAGAATAAGGCTAACATTACAAAACTAGCCGACTGACCCCACACAACACATCCATGAAACTTCCACCAACCCTACAATACTCGTGTATGCTAATCATACATAACATTGGATCCTATAGACAATCGAATACCTGATTCTACCCTAATCCCTTCATCAAACAAGAACAGGAAATAAGGCCAAACCAAACATTCTCATGCTATAGAGTCTTTGTTATGTACAACTACGATGCATACACTAAGCAACTACAGTAATGATGTCAATTTCATATGAAGAAGAACCCTAGGCTATCAAACATCATATAACCAGGCAATTCTATCATGCAATTCCTGAAGATCCCTAGACTATCACTAATATGTTGTTCTAACATATCACAAAATCAAATAACAGTGCGGTAATTTGGGGTCTACTTACTGGCTCCGGCTGATTGTACATATTGCATCCTCTTTGATTATTTTGAAAACAATGTGAAAATCATTTGTAAAAATCTTTTTCCTTAGTTTGATACTGGATTCACACGAGTGTTCTTCCAATTCACTCAAACCAAGGCTCTGATACCAACTTGTAACACCCATAAAAATCATGATAAATTTAAACTTTTTAAAAACAACCCAAATTCACAAATTGTATACAATCATAGTTTTCAAAACATTTTCAACATCAGATTCTCCCAAAATCATAAGTCAAAACATGAGGATGTGTACAGTCACGTCTTCGCCTTCTCGCGGTCATCTAAAGTACCTGAAACATAACCCAAAACTGTAAGCCAACGCTTAGTAAGATCCCTCAAAATACCAACACATAAACAAATAACAAATACAATAACAACATGTCGGGTCCAATCAACCATCGGGTTGGAATACCCCAGGCCCATCAACCATCGAGTTGGAATGCCATTCTACAACGGGTCCTGTCATCATCGGGATAAAATACCCTCGGGCCCATTCAATCATCAGGTTGGCTTACGCACAAAGCAGTAAAGTCTCAACCACCGACCAAATATGTACACATATAACAGATTATCATATAACAGTCTACAAACAGTTAGACAGATCTACAGATCACTAAGCATAACATCATCCTATATACCAAGATATCGATCTAACAAATCACTATAGTACAATAGCATACATAACAAGATATCGAATCCAAAGGGCCGGCCTTGGTGCCTTCGACCTGCAAGTATAGTGAGGAGAACTTGCCTCACAAACTGGACAAAGTTGATGAGGTCTCGACTCCGAATCTCAGCTCTCTAACCAACACTTATTCCAACCAAATGACCAATCTCCATCAAAATCCCAAAATTTCCCAAAATACCTTTAATGTCAAACTTGGTCAAAGTCAAAGTCAACTGGTCAAACCAACTAAGTCAACTGAGTCAACCCAACCGAGTCAACTCAACCGAATTGACTCAGTGCGAGTACGTGGGGTGTATTCTGAAGGTACGTTGGGCGTACTCCATCCTCGCATGTTGACCCCCATCAAGGTGGTTGACCTCGTATGCAGGACGTACTCCGAGTACGTGCAACGTACTCCCAGGAACTTCAAAACTCATTAAGTGCTTAATGGCTTAAGCACTTACGTCTATATTTCATATCCAACTTTATGACTTTCCATGCCCATTAAATGCTTAACTCAACTTCTTAATCAATTAAGATATTCTACAAGATGCATGGAGCAAAACCAACCATTTGCAACCCATTTTTATGACTCAAGACCCTCCCACAGATCTAAAAGGATAGCTTAATGGATCAAGAACATGCTTTGTTCATGAAACACCACATTTGGGAGAAAAAGAACCTAAAACGAACCCAAAAGAAGATATACAAGAAACTACACCAATTTCAGAACTTGATACCTCAAAATGGTGCCAAAAGGTGGTGTGATCCCGGATCTAGAGAGCTTTACTCCTTCAAGGTGGTCTCCTCTTCCTTACTTCTTCTTCAAGAGCACCAAAACATACACACAAGCTTAGAAATGGCTCCTCAAGATGATACTAGGGTTTGCAAACACATATCAGAGGGTTGGAGGCAGTTGAGGTGAAGGAAATGAGGCCATAAGAGTGCATATATACGAGCCAAGCCCTAAATATTAGGGTTTCCTCATCTGGAAAGTACGCCCTGCGTACATTGATGTACGCCCAACGTACGAGGGTGTGCCCTAGTACACTCAGTGTACACACGTACGCACACGTACTCCCCCAAGGCCAATATTAAGAAAATGCCATTAAGGCCCTTTTGCATACATTTCTTGAACTTTGGGACCAAAATACAATATAAATGAATTAAAAGGGTTAAAATTAGAAGTACCTCAAATCGGGATGTTACAAATATATTGGGTAGTGATGGGTAATGAAGGATGGATAGAATAATGAGGGAAATGGATGATGGGAGATGAAAATAATAATAAAACACCGTAACTTACTAGTACTGTTGTACTAAGCGATGTAATCATCTAACAAAGTAAAGATGAAGACCACCAGACTATTAATGACAGTCTCGTGGAAGGCAGGCAGACTCATAACCTGTAGGTGATGGACTTTGTGTCCATTTGATGTACTCTACTTCCTACTGACATGTATTACAGATAAATCCCTTTAACAATACTGCCAGCAACGATGATCCTTACGAATGAAAATAGAAAGAAAACGGGGATGGGTAATCGGGTTAATTGTTTGATAATTAAACATATTAACTACATTATTGTGTGTTAAAAAATCCTATGTACTCACCAGATTTCCCAACATGACCCACTCAACTTCTTTGTATCACAGGTAGCAGTACAAAGGTACATGAATGATGAGAGAAGCAATGAGATGTAGACTCATAGTCTAAGATACTATAAGGCCTGTTTATTTTTATGTTTTGTATCAATCATGACATCCCAAGCGTTTATAAATCAATGAAAAATATTTCTTCAGAAAAACTTTTATGGGACTAAATTCCGCATTTATAAATAAACTCTGTTTTAAATTAGCATAAATAAAAAGTTTTAAAATGGTCGTAAAAATGGGGATGTCACATAGAAGTTTCATCTTTCTTCAAAATCCACCATGAAACATAACTAGCTAGGTGAAGGAGATGAAGTTACCTTTAATCCATGTATTAGAGAGGTTTCCTTGATTCTCCTTGAACTAATCTTCAATTTCTATAAAAAAAATCTCCATAATTATCCCTTATAAGTCCCTAGAGTGTGAGTGTGTGTGTGTTTGTATGTGTGTCAAAATGAGGTGAAGAGAGCTGATTATAGACTTTTAGATTCGTCCCTTGTTTAATCGACTTTGAACACGATGCATCACATTATCTTGTTCTCACGCATCGTGTTCTTATTAAGTTGTGTCGCGTAATTTAACATTTACACATCACGTTCTTACCATCTTCCTATTTCAAAATTGAACTTTCGGACGAATCACTTTATTCCTACACAACACGTGTTTTCACAAATGTTCAAATATAACAACATACTTTAACGTTTGCTTCAAAACACTTAGAATTTTCCAACATGCCTTGATTGGGTTTTTATGTGTCGCGTAAATCAATAATTACGCGTCGTGTAATTATTTCTACAATTCTAATACTTAACCAATCTTCATTTTTTTTCACTTATAACACCATAAACAAATAATGATATATCATTCTCCTTCAAAACTACAAGTTAGTAAATATTTTTCATCCATGCTTTCATATATTTTGACATAATACATGTATTAGGCTTTTATTTAACTTACCAAAAGTATTACACCTTCCCAAGTATTATTAGTTACAAAAAAGGTGTTATAACTAAAGTTGTAGATGACAATGACTATGAACATGACATTTTTTCAATACTTAAATAAACAATTTACACATCAATCAGGTGAATCTAACACTTCTTTTCATAATAAAAATGAGCCAACACCACTTTTTCATCCTTTTCACAATCTTACTAAACCAAAAACCTTTAACCAGACATACTATTCCATCTTCATCACCATCACCAATACAATAACTGCCACCCAAATTGTCTTTTATAAAACACTTCATTCTTTGATTTTCTGCATCAGGAATCTTGTTCTCAGCTTTTGAGGCATACTTGAAACACATCAGCCCTAGGATAACATCCATTTCCCATGAATACATCGGTGGAACAACTCACCTAAAAAAATCCACATCCCGTACCCTACATTCAAGTTACCCTACAATAGGTTCATAGTCATTTTAGAAAGTTACCAACATTACAAACTAACAAACCATAACGATTACCACTTGGTAGCATAAGTGGAATCTTAGCCCATAGTTGTTGGATGTCCACAATTTTTTGTATCATAATTGATCTTCCCATGCATAAAGCACCACTTCCAAATTAAAGAGTGTTATGTGAGACTCAACCCGCATCTCGTTCTTCTTAAATGACCATTTTACATACATATGTCAACACACATATCTATCATACATACAAACCTATCCTACCTACATACATGCCATTTACATACACACGAATCTGTCATACATCATACATATATTCATATCGGTCATATCATACATACTGATGTTTGTATGCACGATTGCTAGGTTTTAAAGGAAGGCCGCACACATGGATATGATGTAGAAGAGTAACCAGAGAAGACAGGGAGGGAATCTGGTTATACACACTGATATGTTACAATTGGTGTTATTGTGGTTACATACATGTTAATTCCACCTTCATGTTGTAGTTTTTATAGCAGAATACGAACAAAACCATAGAACTAATTAAACAAGTATTTTCTAGTTATAGTTAAAAAAGAACCAACATGAAGCAAAAATTCAAATATGAAAAGCATCCACATGAGACGAAGTAATCACTATGACAGTCTTCACAGTCACCAATGGCAATTAGAGAACCTTGCTTCATTACCCCAACTGAAAAACATATCCAATATATCTTCAAACCACTCTAAAACTACTTTTGGTTTTTCTCCATTGAATTCAAAAAACTTGACCCTTTTCACATCATTACTCAAGAGACTCCATGTTTCATCTTCATCTAACCATCCGTATTCCGTCCCATCACTCCCATGAAAATCCTACATCATATCACACAAAACCATAAGTTTTACTTTTCAAAATCTAAACTAATGTTTTTGATTCTTGAAGAATCTATTTATTGGCTCAATTGGTTTTTCATTAATATAGGATAATGTAAAGCTCCCCGGTTCAAATCCTTCCTGTGTATCATATCATATGCATGTGTAGGGGTGGCAAAATGGGTGGATGAGATCAGGTTAAACTGATATTTTAAAGTTGGGTCAAAATGGGTCATGGTGGATTCGGTGGACCCACCAAAACCTCTTGGTTTTTTGAAGAATGTGATACATAAAAAGAATACCATTTGATATGAGAATACCTGTTGAATGACCAACTTGAGAGACACCAGTTTGGGATAATATTTGAGAATTTGGTTGAAGTTATCGAAGGTGAAGGCATCCATAGTTGTGCTTAGCACCAAAGTCTTCAGGTTTGGTAGAACTGGATCACATGCAGCAGTAATGCACTACAATTATGACAAAGATTTGATGAAAACCAATCATACTTTCAATATTTGTAAGTATCATATTCTTTTCTAGAAACCTAACTATGAGTATATATAACTTAACCACCACGTTTGGATTTGGAAAGATAAAACGTATATGGACTCTGAGCCCTTATTGATGCTATAAATTTTTTATTCGCATTTATTAACACCCATATAGTATATTTACTAGATTAGATCCTGTTCTAGTTAAGTGGAAAAGAAAAACACCAATTAAAAAGTGAATGTTATAATCTTAATTTAATAGAGTTATCTATTCACATCTTCACTTGCATAAAAACAAGTGCTTAAGTAGGTTCAAGCAGAACAATTGTTGCCAAATATTTTGGCATCATGTCCTCGAGTTTTAACAAGAGCAAGAGTCTTGTCTGATTTGGGTCAACTCTTTTATAAGAAAGGTGGTAAAGACACATATATTCCATAAATTACACTGCAAAAAAGCTTTAAATAAACCTAAATGAAAATTTGTCCATAAAGAGAATAAGCATATACCTCAATGAAGAAGTAAGGGTCAATCCACAAAGATTCCACACTAGAAATTCCAGGAAACAATACACATTTGTTGTTCCCCACCAATTTAGGCTCAATCACAGCTTTCTTTAAGGAGTCTAGACATTCAAAGAAAAAATTATTTGCTATAAGACCTCTTAACTCCAAATCCACCAGTTTTGGGCAGCAAATCTTAATGCCACCACACTGGACACCATCATAATTACCATTGTACATGTTAATAATGGTAAGCTTCTTGAGCTTCTGACATGAAATACAAAGAAGATCGAATTTGAATATCACGCAGTCTGACAAAGTCAGATCCTCAAGCAATGGGTAATTTTTGAGAAAATTTTTAACCAAATCTGCGTCCTCCAATTTATCAACAAACGTCAAACCAAGAACCCTAAGTGACGGAAACACCATTGTTTTTGGCAACCTTAGACCACGTTCCTTTGAATTCAACTTTAATACCTCCAAGGAACCACAAGTCACAAGACAATGGGGCATCTGTATATATTCATTATTCTGTTTAGGGCAAAACGTCAATTCAAGTTGTTTGACACTTTTCGTAACGGCTGCATTAATCCAGCGCCCTACTGTCGACATACTGTAGTGATGCGAACAAAACAAAACGAAAACAATCTAAATCGACGGATCTCTTTACTAAAACCCAATACACAAACTCTTTGAATTCGCTTTTTTTAAATTTTCCTCCGTCGTGTATGTCTAGAGAAGGAATTGCGGTCCACAAATTCCTCCATCGTCTGGACAAAATGCTGCTTCGAATTGCTTCTTCAGTGGATGGAAGACGTGAAAGAATCAAAAGAAGAATAGCATCCGGCATGTCACTGACCCCATCTGTGGGTTTTGATGTCTTTGGTGGCTCCAATTTCTTCATAACCTTTTGGTAATGTCTGAATGTGAACCAACAATTATTCGGAGAAGCAAACATAGTCACTCCAGCTTCTCTACAGAGTGACACGGCGTAGGGTTTTAGCATCATGATCTCCCTCGTTTTACATAAATTAATATTAGACAAAGTTACATAAATGGTCCATGTACTTTACAAAAAATCACAACTTAAGTCCCTTTTTTTTTTGACACATATGGTCTTTATATGTTAGCTCCCACTCCTCCCCCCCCCCCCCCCCCCCCCCGGCCACTTCATCTTCCCCACATCTTCTGTAACGCCCGCAAACTCGGGCTACTAAATTTATAGATAGTAATCGTTAAAAATGATTTTTTGATATAAGACTATTTATGATAAATAATCTTAACCAAAGTTATAGTATATGTCACAATGATTTCGTACGTATAAAGAATGCTGAAATCCGACTTATAACGAAGAAGTTATGACCCGTCGAAGTTTCGCGATTAAACCGGCACGGCTCCGCGTATCGTAAAAAGTAAATTTTCGACAAAATACTTTTTAGCCTTAGCGATCTAAAAGAAAGTCGTAATAGACGTTAAGCCGAGAGCGTGCATATAGAGAACATCCAAATCTGACTTCGTTAGAGAAAGTTATGATTTTTTTAACATTCAGCGTAGCAGTATACAGCTTAGAAATCGAATATTAGATCGATCAATTATTAGCCACCACAATCTAAACGAGAATTGAAGATCCCATTAACAGGAGCTCAATGATATAAAGACAGTCGAAAACGGACGTCGGACGACAAAGTTATGACTTTTTTAACTGACTTTAACTGTTTAAGTCTGTTAAAATATATAACTTTAAAAATAAAGTCAAAATTATCCGACGGAGTCTAAAAGAAAATCGTAGATCACATCGATACCTACACGCGGATATAAAGAACGTAAATAACGGAGCTCGTATTTGAAAGTTACGGATTTTATAAGATAACTAATTTTTGGATTAACCAGGAATCAACACGTGGCATGATCTAAGACCATACCTTCTTCTCCACGGCTTGCCACCAGATCGTGACACGTGGCACGCCTAACGTATTGCCATACGCCCCGCATACCCTTTGAGTACACCCCGCGTACTCGGTTGCTGGTAGGGGTGTTCACGTAGCGGTTCGGTTCGGATATTCATAAAATTGTGAACCGTAACTACGGGGCGGATATCTAATGTGCACTAACCGAACCCGAACCAAATTATGTAAAAACTCGAACTGGACCGAACCATTTGAAGGCGTGTAACCACGGTTTGGTTTACGGGTACTCGTTAAATATAACAAATTGAAAATATAATAAAAAATACAAACTACTAATATGTCATCTTAGAAGTAAAAAAACTTGTTTAAGTTCAAATTATACATTATAATTTATATAATAATTGTAATAATAAAATTAACCATAAAACATGATGAATATAAAAACAATTTCTCAATTTCAGCGATAACAATACACGCACATAGAAAACATATACCATATAGTTTATAAGAAAACATACAGACACAATTTATGAAGCAGATATAAGCAATAATAATCTAAAGTTCTACAGTAATAGACAAATACCATAGACATAAAACAAGCATGTTAGATGAGAAAACATATACTGTATCATCCAGTTTCTTATTTTATTAAAGTCTATTTAATTTAATTACTTTTACATTAATATATATATATATATATATATATATATATATATATATATATATATATATATATATATATATATAAGTAATTAAATTAAATAGACTTTAATTTAATATATATATATATATATGGAAAAGTTCAATAGATAATCATTATTAATCAAGAAACCAATAAACCAATTCAAAGCGTCGGAATTTAAAGCGATCAACGGCAAAATCCCATTATGGTTGTAAATTTTTATAATGGACGCACATTTACCGGATTATAACAAAACTCATTTCCTTTTTTTCATTTAAAATTTGTTTTAGGCCAAGTTTTTTATCGTAAAAAAAAACCGAATATACCGTTGTTCACAATTTTTCATCCTCTTTCCATAGAAATCCATGATGATATATAAAAAATGAACTTTTTTTTTCAAAAAAAACTCACTTAATTTTCTTAGTTTTTTCAATATTTAAGTTTATTTTTATCAAAAAAAACTAATTATACCAAAAATATTAATTTTTTGTACTCTATTAATAAACATCAACACCGATTAAAAAAAAACGCGAACAGTGTAGATTCACACTGTGAATCTAAACTGTAAATATTTCAATTTTTAACATTCATAATATGAAAAATCCCGAACAGTTCAGATTCACATTGTGAATCTGAATTACTATTATGCACACTGTGAATCTGAGAAAGTTCACCAAAAAAAAAAAAAAAAAAAAAAAAAACTCGATCAGTGTAGATTCACACTGTGAATCTAAGCTGTAAATATTTCAAATTTTAACATTCACAATGTGAAAAAGCTCCGATCAATTCAGATTCACACTGTGAATCTGACATATTATTATGCACACTGTGAATTTGAGGAGGTTCACAATGTGAATCTGAACAGGTTTACAATATGAATCTGAATAGGTTCACAATGTGAATCTGAACCGAAATATCGTTTTTTTTAACATGAATATGAATCTATGTTTAAAAAGTACAAAAAATATGAATTTTGATATATTTATTAATTTTTTTTCTATAAAAAAAATAGACCTTAACTTTTTTCATCAAAGAAAATGAAGTGAGTTTTTTTCGAAAAAAAAAATCGTTTTTTATATATCATCATGTATCTCTATGGAAAGAGGACGAAAAATCGTGAACAACGGTATATTCGGTTTTTTTTTCGATAAAAAACATGGCCTAAAAAAATTTTAAACGAAAAAAAGTTGTGGGTTTTTTTGTAAACGGTGGATTTTTTGGTATAATCTGGTGTGTATGCATCCAATCTAAAAGTATACATCTATTTCCTTGGCCGTTGATCGTTATGATTACCGACGCTCACGATTGGTTCCTTGGTTCTTTGGTTAATTATGGTTCTCTATTGAACCTCACCCTATATATATATATATATATATATATATATATATATATATATATATATATATATATATATATATATATATATATATATATATGACGGTTCGGTTCGGGTATCCGCGGATATCGAAATATCCAAACCGTAACCGACCCATTGATAGTGGGTTTTTTCGGTTTCGGTTTTTTTTTCGTTTCGGTGTTTTTTTGGTTTCGGTTTTTCCGGTTTCGGATTGGCTGGATCGGCTCGGTTTTGCGGTTTTTTTACACACCCCTAGTTGCTGGCAGTTATAAATAAAGCTCGAAAATCACTCAATTCCTCATACCTTTCTATCCAACTCTTTCCCAACCCCCTCCCCAAAGGCCTCGATGCCTTTCTCTAGCACTTCCTAGGTGTTGGTAGTGAAGCCCCGGAGCACCACAAAGCCCCGAGAAGTAGAGCTTTCGGCTTAGAAGTTCTGTCTGCGCAGAGTCCGCTTTCTCGCTAAACCACCTATAAGTTGAGTTATGCTTACCGTACTTTAAGTATAACTTATGTTTAAGTTCATTATCGTTATTATGAACCTATAAAAAAAATTTATCAGTGATTCCAAGTCGTTATATTGATTGATCTACTTACAGGGATGATGTCTAGGATGGATTTAGTGAGGTGTTAAAGTGGGATTTCCAAACAATATACTTTGTATACCAAACGGACCCTATCTTCGATATGATCCTACCTGGTTGTTCCTTACTTGATAGATCTTTAAGTAGACTTTGAATTAATGATGAATTTAGACTAATAAAACTTGATAAATATTAGACTAAAACTTAGTGATAATGATACTAGGTTACGCCAAAGGAAAAGACAGTTTCTAGAAGCGAAGCGCTATCCAAATTTAGAGTCGTCACTTTAACATGTGAGTGCATAGTTACTTTCATCTTACACGTGGATATAAAATATTTAATATTAATACATGCTATATGTTCTTATTATCTGTGTTCCTGATATCTAGGCTAGATGAACGATTTATACATGTTTTACTTGATTTAAATTGTATATGTATTTTTATACCTGTAAATATATTGGGTAAAGATGGGCAAATGAAAGATGATATGGATGATGAGAGATGAAAGGTGATATAGATGTTGAGAGGTGAAAGATGATGAGAAGCCTTGACTTTAAAGTTGATTCAGTCATCTAGCAGAGTATAGATGACAACCACGGACGATTATAGACAGTCCAGTGGAATGCTAGTAGGCTCGCAACTTGTAGGTTTTTTTGAACAACGTGTTCACTAGATGTACTCTAAAAACTCCGGCACGTATGGACTTAGTGCCATATAAATGAACATTGGAAGTTATGGACTTAGTGTCTAATAGATAACATTGACAACTGTGGACTTAGTGCCTAATAGATAACATCCGCAGCTATGGACTTAGTGTTTGTTAGATAAACCCTGGCAGTGATGGACTTCGTGCCTATTCCTTAGGATAATCCTTAGGAATAAATAAATGGATAATAGATGATTCTTAGGGTAGATCCTTAAGAATAAAGAAGATAACAGGGATGGGAAATTGGGTTAATTGTTTGATGATTAAACATAGTAATTATATTATTGTGGGTTGAAAACCCTATGTACTTACCACGTTTTCCAACCTGATCCACTCAGTTTATTTCATCACAGGTAGCGATTAAAGATACATTCTGCTGAGATATTCAAGGAGTATTAAGCCACTAGTTTAATTACTGTAAGGCTTGTAATATTTCGTTATGTTTATGTTTTTGTATTGACGATTACATCCCAATGTTTTAATATAAATAAAATATATTTCTTCGGAAATGCTTTGATAATATCATTATCATGTTTTCTGGGAATAAATTCCGCAATATTATTCTTCAAAAAGGATACTCTAATTTTTAAATAAGCATAAACAAATCGGTCTTTTCTGGCCGTGAAAATGGGGATGTCACATCTTCCCCTTGCTTTCTAGTTTCATCTGATGTCCCTCCGTCTCCATTGCGATAAACTTACTTCATATCCACCGTTTCACAATCACAACTAGTGCAAGCAACCACCACTAATTTTCTTTTTCCATATCTGC